TCTACAATCGACTACTCCCCCATTAAGAATTGGAGATTTAACGATTGAAATGTATCAATCAAAAATTGTAAAACTTGCATTATGCGAAAATTCGTTGTACATGAAACCAGAAACATTATTACATTTATTTAATTTTGAAAATTGTATCGATCATATGCATAATTGGTTATGCGAGAATACGTATCTCATAAATGAAAAATTTAAACAATTTGAAACTGTATTACAACGTAATAATATTACTACTGTATGTGATGCTGTAAAAACGATACGCGAGAGTGATGTCTTTGACAGTGAATCATTGATCGATTGCGAATTATTAACATGTGCTGTAAATGATATTCTTTACGATGCGTGCAATAAATAATTATTTTTATTCAATCTATGATTTTATTTCTTTCCTTCCATACGAATAAGAATAGTTGAGAATTTTTCTCAACACGCTCCGCCAAAGATGTAGAGAAATGCTGAGGTAGATGAGACGCGATGCTCTAGTTGGAATGAGACGCGAGATATTAAAAAGATATATAATGAAGAGGAGTCTGCGACATTAGAATATTATTTCGTTGTTCTTTGCATTTCGTTAGTCTTGTATGTTACGTTAGTGCAATGGCCGAAGAAGACGTAATTTTCATCGATGATAAAGACGAAGATGTAATCATCATCAACATTGAAGACGAAGATGTTATTATCGCTGATGAGGACATTGAAGAGGTTGTTATAGTCGAAGATGGAAATCAAATGGATGTCGATGGCTCTGAGGAAGAATCCGAAGAGGAGGAAATACCATCCTTAGTGGATTCAGATTATGCCAGTGATAATGATGAAGAATTAAGACTGAAAAAATATAAACATTTAAACGTGATGGAAATAAATAATCTGGATGTTACTATAAAAATGTGTCGCATTAAATATTATTATTATGATATGGAAGACGGAACTAAGTATTGTTCCGATTGTTTTTTAAGATTAGCATCATCATTTCACAACGTATACTCCGTTCGAAAACATAAAACGGATTATTGTGCTCTATTAATGGGCACTTATTGCAAAGAGTGCAAGAAAAATTTACATCAAATATTACCATGCAATATGTGCCCCATTTGTACAAATTAAATAAATGGATAACATTGTAAGTATTATTTTTATATTAAATAAATTATTATAAAATAATTATTAAAATCTAATGAGATGTGTCTTTCTTCTGTTACAGGAGCGGCCGCCTCACCTGGCTCCCCTGGCCCCTCCACCCCCCCCCGCACCCACAAATTATTTTTATTATTATTATATTATTATTTTATTATATTATTATTATTATTATATTATATTTTATTTTATTAATTATAATTTTAAGTACATACACACACACACACACACACACACAATTGTATTAACACACACATTTTAATAAATTTTATATATTTTAATTGAGAAAAAAAAATCTAATTATTTACGTGCCTCTCCTCGCGTCCCCATCCTTGCGTCTCTCTTGCGTTAGTTATAAGCATCGCGATATCGTTCTCTCTTGCACGCGTCATCTTCGCGCTATCGTTCTCTCTGGCGCACTAGTTGTAAGTCTCGCGATATCTCTTTCTCGCACGCGTCATCTTCGCGCTATCGTTCTCTCTCGCACGCGCTAATTTCAAGTCTCGCGATATTATCGTTCTCTCTCTTGTACATGTCATCTTGGCGCTATCGTTCTCTCTCTTTCATATATTCGTTGTTCACTTACCTTTGCGTCGTCCTTTTCCCACCTATACATCGTCCTTGTCCCACGTTAACGCCATCCTTGTCGCACTGTCCTCTTCACACTTTGCACTGTCCTTTTCCCACACGTAGCGCTGTCCTTCTCACACCACCGTCCATCTCTCACACCGCTGATTCCCCTTCACTGCGCGGACCCCCTCGTCCATCGGTCGCGCCGCGGTTCCCCCTTCACCGCGCGGACCCTCTCGTCCATCACTCGCGCCGCTTCACTGCGCGGACCCCCTCGTCCATCTCTCGCGCCGCGGATCCCCCTTCACCTCGCGGACCCCCTCGTCCATCGCTCGCGCCGCGGATCCCCCTTCACCTCGCGGACCCCCTCGTCCATCGCTCGCGCCGCGGATCCCCCTTCACCTCGCGGACCCCCTCGTCCATCGCTCGCGCCGCGGATCCCCCTTCACCTCGCGGACCCCCTCGTCCATCGCTCGCGCCGCGGATCCCCCTTCCCCGCGGGTGACGTCACCCACCGCGCCGCGGTTCCTCCTTCCCCGCGCGTGACGTCACTCCCCCCGCACCGCGGTTCCCCTCGCGCCTCACCCCCCCTGAGAGGACCTGGGTTAGAACTCTCTTAGTATCACTACTTATATATATATATATATATATATATATATATATATATATCTTGCGCAATGAGAGGGCATGGCAAGAGTCAATTATATGGCTGCTATGTCAAGTATTTTTCTTTGCGTACATAGAAAAATAAATGTTAAATGTTAAATGTTAAATATATAAATTTAACTGAATAATTAAGCAATATCGAGCCAACGCAGATGTAAGGCATGAAGCAATAAAAAACTACTTCAAAATCCACACTTTATTGATGTCTAACGACACTTCATCGACAATTAACGGAACGAGAATGAATTTCTCGTTCCGCTAATTGTCGGTTAAGTGTCGTTGGACATAGCGAGATGTTGGTGTCTTTCTCCGACGCGTTTTTTGTGTCCGATGCAACTTTCCTTGCGTCTTATACCGTTAGGAGATTCATAGATCGGACGTGCAGTTAAGATGCTCGCGTATTGTCGAACTATTTGACTGTATTTCACTGAAGAAGGCTCGAAAAAAGTCCGAAACGTATGACTGATCATCAATAAAATGTGGAGTATGGAAGTAGTTTTTTATTGCTTCATGCCTTACATCTGCGTTGGCTCGATATTGCCTAATTATTTAGTTAAATTTATATATTTTATACTTGATCCGTCAAGTTAGTTAATTTATTTTAAATGTTAAATGTTAAATGTTAAATGCATAAACGTAGAGTTTGTTCAAGTAGATTACTTATATTGCATAGTATTTTTCTTTTGATAGTTGGAGTGTTTCTTGTCATGCACATGTGTTCCATTTATTTGGTTTTTTTCTATTCATCAGGACAAAAGTTCATGCATTCAGAATGCTATCTCTGTTTTTTATAGATTTCTCCTACCTTTTAAGACAAAAACCGGTTTACTAACTATATTATTAAAGCTAGCTGGTCTTTCTAGTATCATGTTGATAGGATAAGTAAAAAAACATATCGATGGTTGTGGAAAGATAAGTTATAATTTATTTATGTGTCAATGCTATATGTCAATTATGTAAAAATAATATATACGGTAACAAATTATTTGAGAATTAAATGTCCTAAAATATAAATTTAAGACCTCTAAACAAATATCGGTATTGTGATATCATTTCTAACTTTTCTGTAACTTTAGATGTCAAATGACATTATTAGATGACATTGTTAGATAAAAAAGAAGTACACGAGAAGGATTTTTCGCGATTCAAAAATTAAGATATTTTTTAAGCATTTTTTTATTTTATCTGAAAGGAACTTATTTACAAAATTTGACCCAAATCGGAACATGATTTCGGAAGAACAGCCGATAAATGATTGCTACATAAAAAGTATAATACAAAGTTAGGAATGATATTACAATTCCGATACTTATTTAGAGGTCCTAAATTAATATAGTTAGTTTTAAGTTAGGACATATTTTAAGTTAGAAATTTAATCTTGAAATAATTTGTTACCATATATGATATTTTTACATAATTGCAGTACAATATAGTATTGACACATATAAATAAATTATAAAATGTACTTTTCTACAAATATTGATATTTTTTATTTATGTTATCCACAAGATACTATAAAGACTAGCTTAGCCTTATTATTAGCATATTAACATATATAACATACATAATAAATCGATCTCTATTCTATGAGACAGGGGAAATCTATGAAAAACAGAAATAGCTGAATGCATAAACCTTTCTCTTTATTGATAGTAGAGAAAACCAAATATCTCTGAAACAAAATATTTATAAGCACATTCTTAGAGGAAAATTTTTTTCATGCGGTCCTAAAATTATATTTTAAATTAGGATATTTAACACATCCTGAAATATCCTGCATATATAAATATACATATATATATTTAATCTTTATATATATATATATATATATATATATATATATACATATATGTACATATCTAATCTTCATGTTTGTAAACATACATATGTACAATACACATCTACAATGTTTATATAATATAATCCTAGAACCAGAGAGAGAGAGAGAGAGAGAGAAAGAGAGAAAGAAAGAGAAAGAATCAAAAGTAAGATTTATGTTGATTAATATTTTCATTCATACTTATCTTTTTTTAAAATGACTTGAATTTTATTGAAAGATTTGATTTTCTTTCTTCAAAGATAAAATAGATAAAATCTAACATTAAGTTAAAAGAATTTTAAAAAATAGCAGAGTGAAAATTATTATTTAAAATATAACATCAAAATTATTATCGTATAAAATCTTATAAAAAAATTGCATTTTAAATCACAACTTATCTAATTTTTTTTTTAACTGAAAAATTCTTGAAATCTTTTATATGTGAGATTTGCTATTTCAATAAATTAATACGTTTACTTTCTAATCGGAAGGACGCATTATGTAAATTGTGTTTCTTTTAATTTATTATAGTACGATTGATCTAATCGATGATGAAATTAAATTACTGTCTTTATCGATGACTGTAATATAAGATGAAATAACTTATACTTGCCAAATTTGCTATTTCAATATACTAATACGTTTACTTTCTAATTAGAAGGACGCATTATGTAAATTATGATTTTTTGAATTTGTAATAGTACGATTGGGTGGGGAAAACATAATAAAAGCAACCATAACAGAACGTAGTAACAGTAGAACAGAAGGTAATATTAATATGTAATCATATTACTATTTTAATGTTATCATTTTTTTAATAATGTTTTTTGTAATTGTGTCATTAATTTTACTGGTAAGTTATTTTATCTTAAATTACTGTCATCGACGATCTTCTATTAAAACGGAAAACATTCTGCCTGGTCCAAAAGCATTTCCTCTTATTGGAAGTGCTTATTATTTTCTTCGGCGGAGTTCTGATGGTAATATAATAAAAAGATACAAATATTTATCCGAAAATTAATTATAGTTAATATTAATTATAATCAAATATTCATAAATTACTTTATATGATAAACCATAAAATTTATTTTTTAGAATTTTTAAATGTTATGATAAAATTGATAAATAATTATCCATCCCCATTTAAACTTTTAATGGGGAACAAATTATTTATTGTAATACATAAGGCAAAACAAATTCAGGTAAAAAAATAGTGTCATATATTTCAAGAATAATGCAAATTTATATTTATTTTGAAAATATGTGTGTATATATTTCTTTTGTTGCGTTTTCGCTTCACACTCTTAAGAACAGAAATAACTTTATGCACAACACAATTATTAAATACAGAAATATATAATTTATGAATATGCGAGCGATCAATTCAAATTTAGATCTGAATACGGTATTATTTTTTAGTCACCATAACGACCGACCATTCTTTTGTTCAAACGACCGATCGATATCGAGTGTAATACCGGGTGACAAGATCTTGACGGCGAGATTGCAACAATATATATATATATATATATATTCCAAATAAATAATAATATTTCATATTTTTTCATATCTTATTAATAAATTAACAATAATTTATCACTAATCTAAGTGATTTTTTGAAGTATATGAATAACTCAAATATCAAATAATACATATCCGGAAAATAAAAATTTGAGAAATAAAGCTTTATGCGTTTTGTACCATAAGTATATAAAAAGATAATTAAAACTTTAACTATGCGATCTGAAACTTTAAAAATTAAAGAATTCAATATAATTATACTAATTCCATTACTTGTATTTCAAATTTGTTAATAACTCGATATCAAATTTAGATAAATTTGTATTATTTGCCTATTGAAGTATTCATATGTCAACTATTCATATGAACTATTCATATCTTAATTATCAAAATAATACAAACAAATATACATTGAAAATATTTAAAAAATATATAAAATTTTACATAACATTATAGGAAATTTTAGAAAACAATAAAATTGTAGAGAAAAATATACTATATAAATTTATTGAACCAGTATTCGGTAAAGGATTGCTCACAGCACCCGGTAAGATATTTTAGTATAATAAAATTTAAAGTAACTTCTAATTAGTTCTCCTATTCGTTGACTTTTTCCCGGATTTGCCCTGGTTTTTCAGGTGTCGGAAAACATTTAAGGGGATTTTTTTAAGTATTTCACAGATTTTGAGTGCTTTTTTCTAAGCATGGCTTAGAAGCATGGCTTCACAGGATATTGTGACGCTCTAGAACGTCAGTCGGAATAATTAACAACAGAAAAAATATTATAATAATCACATTTCTATTAATAATTCTCAACAATAATGACTATTAATAATATTAATGATTATTATAATAATTCAAAATGTAAAAGATATAAAAGATTCAAAACATAAAAGATTTATTTTATTTTACTTTATCAGCAGTTGCAATAATTATACATTATGAATAGTGAGCATTCGGATTTCAGTCAGAAAAGTCTAAAATATAAAATCTTTCAGTCTTATTGTCATATTAGTAAAATTACAAATAACAGCTTTATCTTTCTCTCTCTCTTCCTCTCTATCTCTCCCCCCCCCCCCTCTCTTTTCCTCTCACTTTCTCTCTTTCTAATATTTAAATCACATAATTAAATAACATAATTAAAAATAGTAGCTTTTATATTTCATTTACATTCCAGTCGTATAATATTTTTATTTACTATTCGATACCAATACGACAAATTTGAAATTATTAATAATTAAATTTCTAATAACATTTTCTCATACCATTTTTATTCATATATTTCATATTCTTTTTCTATATTGTAACTTCTTATGATACTTATTTCAGAATTAATATGGATTAAAAATCGAAAAATAATAGCACCGAATTTTAGTACAATTGCATTACAAAAGTTTTTTTATGTATTTGTGGAACAATCTTTGATACTGACAGATCAATTAGAAAAAATTGGACTAAATAGGAAGAAAATCATACTTCACAATCATATAGCTAAATATGCTCTGAGTACTGCCTGTAGTAAGTTTAAATATTTTTATTTATTTATAAAATAGTTGCATATCTGTTACCGTTAATATTAAAAAAAAAAAATAATTTACAAGAGAAAATAAAAGGCATTAATGATATATATGATAATTGTGTTATAGATCTTATAAATTAAATAATATTAAATAAAATTAATATAAAGATAATATTAAATAAAGTTAATATTAAATGAAGTTAATATAAAGATAATTTTTACAAAATTATTAATTAATAATTTCTTTCAATAAAATATCACTTATTTACAGTGTTATACTTAACTGCCTGTAATCAGTGACTATTTATTGTTTTTCAGTGATAATACACTGATTGAAATAATCAGTAATATTAAACTATAATTCATCTCTCCATCTAATCTCCACTTATACAAAATTAAAAATTTTATTTATATTTATTAAATACTTATAATATTAAAAATTTTATTTTATTTTATTTAAATTACATGCACATTGAACTTATTATTTTATAACGAGCGAATAATTTTTATTAAGTCGCCAAACATTTATTTATCCGATTTATAAAATCGATTTAATATTTAAAGCCTCTCTATTGTATCAGAAAATCGAAATAATATTTTTAATTTTATCTGTCGCTCTTTGCAAACTTTATATTCTTATATTATATATTGCATACTTTATATAATTCTTATGAAACTAAAACTTAAATACGAGAGAGATAGCGATCATAGCAGTAAACGAACAAACTAGCGATTTTACAGTGAATTTTACTTTAACTGACCATAATCAGTAAGATAATAAGATAAAATTATAAAAAATAAGCGTTTCTACTGAAGATCAGTAAAATACTCACTGAGTCTCAGTGAAATCTTATTTTACTGTTTAAATTGGTAATATTTTCACTGATTCACTTTTAGAGAATAGGACAAAAGTACAGATATTTCCTTGGTATGATGAGATCCAAGCTATCGTTTAAGATTTTGAATGGTTTAACTGTTACTTTGTGAGATCCGATAGTCTATTATTTTTATAACTAGGCGATTCACATATAGATACACAATTCACTTCGTTGTTGCTATATATAGTTTCAAGATGCTACTGTGTCTATTGTTTTTTTGAGTTTTATATATTTTACTTTCTAAAACATTTTAATGATAAAATGTATTAAATGTGCTGTTAAATTTTTTAACATTAGATATAATGAATTCATATATACATATAAAAGATGTCCCTGCATTCTGGACCAAAATTGATACAGCGGCTTTAAGCATGAAAACAAGTCGAAAATGTTAAACATATATTCGAATTCGAACGGTTCTGGAGTTATAAGATTATAAAGCGCTTCCTTAAGACAATATAAATTGAAATAAATGTTATTTAATGTTCTTTATTTTGTTTAAAGCTTTACAAAAAATGCTGAAAAATTCTTTCGTCGACTTCGATACACTTTCTAATAGAAATTAATAAATTGTTTCGAGCATTTTGGAAAATATTTAGAGTTCTACAAATAACATCCGCAACATTAAAAATGTGAATTTTTGAGCATCTTTTTAAAGCTTTAAACAATATAAAGAACATTAAACAACTTTTATTTCAATTTATATTGTCTTAAGAAAGCTTTAGAAAATTTTATTATCTTATAACTCCAAAACCATTCGAATTCAGACATATGTTTATTAACATTTTCGACATGTTTTCATGTCCTAAAGCCGCCGTATCAATTTTGGCATTGAATTCAGGAACACCCTGTGTATAATAAAATTAATGAAACAAGTGCAATCTTATATAGATCTAATCGTAATTTTCAAGAGTATTTTATAACGAAACATTCATTTTCTGTTTAAAAATTTCGTATCATTTGTTTACCAAATATATAACACTATATATATATATATATATATATATAAATATATATATATATATATATATAATACTATATATATATATATATATATATAATACTATATATATATATATATATATATAAATTAATAATTAATATCTTAACTAATTACTTTATTTTCCATGACATTATAAAGGCACAATGACGGATATCAAAATGGAATTTCTATCCGATGAAATCAATCAATGTCTCGAAGTAATTGCGAGGTAAAATAATTTTAACTCTCAATTTCTTATGTTAATGTATATAAAAATCATGATAATGATAAGTTTATTTAAAAATATTTTATGCATTTTTTAAGAGATTGCACTTTCAAAAGAATTTTTTTAAATGTACAAGTAGCAATTATATTTCAAATTAAATCTTTATTATGAATAATATTTTTGATGTATAACTATGAGAATAATATTAGTTTCTTAATTTATTCGTATAGAACTTAATAACTATAATTAGTTAATTATGTGCTTATATCATGCAAGTGCTTATATAATATAAAATATTTTAAGAGAAAAATTTTTTAGCTTGAGAAATACTTTTAAGTCCAGAGTTCGAAATCCGTTCTTATATTTTGATTTGATATTCAATCTCACTGCTGTGGGACGAGAACAGCGAAAGGCTATAAACTTCTTACATTCTTTTATAAATAAAGTAAGTGGGAATATTAATAAATAATTTAACTTATAACATTATATATTATATATGTATATATATATATATATGTATATATATATATATATATATATATATATATATATATACATATACAGGGTCTACCAAAAGTGTGGAAACCCCTAAATATCTCGGAAAATATACGTTTTACAGAAAAGTGTTTCCAACAAAAGTTGTAGGGTTTAAGAAGATCTATATACTGATTCTATCAGTTTGACCTTGGATGGCGTCGTCAAGGTCAGGTCAAGGTCACATTGACTTTTTTAAATGACACCCCCTACATTTGATTGCATATTCTTATAGCTTAATTCAAGAGCTTTCCAAAACACTATAATAATGTTCATTTTTATTAAGTACTTTGCGAGTTATGAGGGTTGAAATAATTTCTTAATTTTACATAAACCATAAAATATCTAGTAAACCATTCATTTTTCGATTATCTTACCTTCATACTTTTATGTACAAATTAATGAGAGGAATCAATTGGTGTAAAGAAAACACATAGTTGTTTCTAAGAAAAAATATGTAATTTGCAATTAACAATTCCATATTTTTTCTTAAAAACAACTGTATGTTTTCTTTACACCAATTGATTCCTTTCATTATTTTGTACATAAAAGTATGAAGGTAAGATAATCGAAAAATGAATGGTTTACTAGATATTTTATGGTTTATGTAAAATTAAGAAATTATTTCAACCCTCATAACTCGCAAAGTACTTAATAAAAATGAACATTATTATAGTGTTTTGGAAAGCTCTTGAATTAAGCTATAAGAATATGCAATCAAATGTAGGGGGTGTCATTTAAAAAAGTCAATGTGACCTTGACCTGACCTTGACGACGCCATCCAAGGTCAAACTGATAGAATCAGTATATAGATCTTCTTAAACCTTACAACTTTTGTTGGAAACACTTTTCTGTAAAACGTATATTTTCCGAGATATTTAGGGGTTTCCACACTTTTGGTAGACCCTGTATATATATATATATGTATATGTATATATATGTATATGTATATGTATATATATATACATATATATATATATATATACATATACATATACATATATTTATATGTATATTTATTATATAATTTATTATTATATTTATATTTATATTTATATGTATATTTATATGTATATTTATTATATAATGTATTATTACACAGATAATACAACAGCACATGTATGCATTAAATGAAGAAGATACCAACTGCACAGAATACCAACAGAATACAACTCGTAAGTTTTTATCCATGTTTTATTTGTATGTTTTTTATTGTTCTATGATTCAAGCATCTTAAGTTGTGAAAATAACTTTTTTTCATAAACTTACAATATTATTAAAATGTTTGTTTAAATTCTTAAAACACTATTAAAATTCCTAATTTTGATCATTATTAAAGATATTTTTCTTTTTCTAAATTTATTTTCAATATTAATTTCCAAAGTGACACATTTAATTTTGCTATTATAAGATTTAGACACTACTTAACATATACACACACGCTCAAAATTTTACATTTTATTTTCTATACGATATAGATAAAACACTTCTACAGATTTTATTATCTCATAAGTACCCGCAAGAGATGATACATGATAATCTAATTACAATGATATTAGCGGTATGTAAAATAATTCTATATAATTTCTACGTTAATTATATTTGTTTATAAATAAACAAAATTTATTATATTAAATATAAAAAAGCGAGGAAGAATAAGAATAAGAAGAATCAAGCCTAACAAAATAAACGTACTTATTTTGTATTGAAATTCTTTTTAATAATAATGTTTTGGTTATTTATGAATTATCTTCAGCATACAAAAATAAATAATATATTGTTACAATATAATTAATATTATTTAACTTAGACACTCCAACTAATTTTATCATATGGCCTATCAGCAATTCCAAGGCATTTTTCTGATATCTTTAGTGAACGTTAAAAAAATGTTATTCTATAGAATAAAAAAATTCTACCTAACTATCGTCATTACTGTTCTCAGCATTATAAATAATTTCATTATAATTGACTGAAAAATAAATATCATAAATAATTTTATTATAAAATGTTTGGCGTCGTAACGACGCCTATGCCGTGCAAAAAATTAATATAAATAAAAAACATAAAGAATCGGCCACAGTATTGATAACATGAATTGCCTTATATGTTTTTTAACATATCATAAATATGTTCTATACCATATGTATATATGTTCTACGTGTCTTTTTTCGAACATTTTAGAGATATAATATGAAGAATATAATTTTATTTTATACATACGAACAAATTGCATTCCTTCAAATACTTAAATTAAATACTTCATAAAAATCTTCTCTTTAACTAATCAAATAAAAATATAATGTGTAGAATTTCAGATATAGATTGTGTTGTATTAATCAGCAATCGGACAGATTACTAAAAACACGCAATTAATAGCATAATAATAATAATAATAATAATAATAATGATAATAATGATAATAATGATAATAATGATAATAATGATAATAATGATAATAATGATAATAATGATAATAATGATAATAATGATAATAATGATAATAATGATAATAATGATAATAATGATAATAATGATAATAATGATAATAATGATAATAATGATAATAATGATAATAATGATAATAATGATAATAATGATAATAATGATAATAATGATAATAATGATAATAATGATAATAATGATAATAATGATAATAATGATAATAATGATAATAATGATAATAATGATAATAATGATAATAATGATAATAATGATAATAATGATAATAATGATAATAATGACGATAATAATGATAATAATGATAATAATGATAATAATGATAATAATGATAATAATGATAATAATGATAATAATGATAATAATGATAATAATGATAATAATGATAATAATGATAATAATGATAATAATGATAATAATGATAATAATGATAATAATGATAATAATGATAATAATGATAATAATGATAATAATGATAATAATGATAATAATAATGATAATAATGATAATAATGATAATAATGATAATAATGATAATAATGATAATAATGATAATAATGATAATAATGATAATAATGATAATAATGATAATAATGATAATAATGATAATAATGATAATAATGATAATAATGATAATAATAATGATAATAATAATAATAATGATAATAATAATAATGATAATAATAATAATAATGATAATAATAATAATGATAATAATAATAGTAATAATAATAATAATAATAATAATAATAATGATAATAATAATAATAATAAAAGTAATTTGCAATTCTGTCGAATTACGAATATCATACATTAATGAATCACGAGTTTTAATAGGATAACGAGATTGAAGTAATTCGGATGTTTTTTTTAAATAAGAGATTAATAATATAAATGTTATTTACGAAACGTCAGAAAAATAGTTACACAGTTTTAATAGACACACAGATATCAAATGTCTTCGTCATACATATGTGACGATTACTGAAAATTTGCCGAAATTCATTTAAATTGAAAATTCAAATGTTTTATTCAAATGTTATATTTATTTTTCCTTCCTCTTCATATGCAATTTAGTGGTTTATCTTGATTTGTTTACATCTAATTCTTTGTCAACATGTTATTTACCTCTATATGCTGAAGATGGCTCAAAGAAAGAATCGAAACTATTATTAAACCAAAATTATTATTAAAGAAAATTTTTACACGTACAATATAAATGCATTTATTTACTATGCTCGAATCTTATTAGCGTTTTTTCTTGCTGATTTTTTATACTTTTCTATTCAATATATTAGAGCCTTTTTTATTTTAACTTGTTTGTTATATTAATCAACAAATGAAATTTTTATCTTTAGGGTTTCGACACAACAGCTGTTACGATAGATTTTGCAATCTTTATGTTAGCAAATTTTCCATCAATACAAGTACGTATTTATTAAATTTATTCACAGCAATTTACTCATAATAAAACGAAATGTGCAAATGATAATCCGATAAGCAGCCCGGCAAGTAAACAGAAATTGATAATGTAATTGTAATCTGTACGCGCAACCTCAAAGTTCATGAACATGCATTATCACATACAGGAGAGAAGTAGTAGTCAAATTTTATACTCTGATTCATGTCAGTAAGCCGTTTCGAAGTTATTGAAGTTATAAAGTTTTTCCTGATAAGTCGATGACTGCTATCGTATTATTTTCCGCGAATAAAGATAGAAGTGATAAATGATGGTGGATCTACTTTTAACTATAATATATATAACTATAACTGACCGATGCGTATGATATTTTGGGTCATTTTTTATTATAGACATTCGAGCAAATAAAAATCATCTTACCTACCAAAAGCTCAATAACTTCGAAACGGCTTACTTAAAAGTGGTAAAATTAGTGCTTTTAAAAGGTCACAGAAGTATTGTCAATTTTTCATTGCTGAAATGGCGATCAGTGGATGAAAATCAAATGCTTACTTCTCTTTTCCATGTAACAATACATGCTTATGATTTCGAGGTCTCACATATAGATCAAATAATTAACTTTTCTTTATTATCGAACTACTCTCGTACGATTCTCTATGGCAAATATATTTTTAAACAATAATCAAGAAAACTCTTTTTTAATAAATTCAATTATATTCACTCAAATCATAACTTATTCAAAATTTTTTTTAAATATATTATTATATATGCATTATGAAGTAATTTCTACTACTGAGGTTAGTAGAATCATATATATTATTGCAAATATTTATCATGAATAAATATGTAGCTGAAGCGTTGTTCAAATTGTAACTTAAATTTAGTTTGTAACATAAACATAACATAAATATCATAAATATTTTTTTTTTCAAAATAACTAAACTTATAACAAGCGAGAAAACAAAAAAGTATATGTCATGTACGAAACTTATTACAAATTCGTTTAAATAAGAATTTTGTGTCTAATGTAATTAAATTGAGTACTTTAACGAAGATATACAATATGTACATTGATCTTTATCATTATTATAATATCAGAATACGAATCCGTAAATGTAATTAATAAAATTACTTTAAAATTAATTTAAATTTTAAATTGTCTCTTATAATTTATACATATTGCATGTATTTATAATTTATATAATTTATACATATTGCATATATTTATATTTATATAATTAAATGTATATGTTATTAATTTTATATATTAGGAAAAAGTATATCAAGAATTATGGCAAATTTACGAGACGAAAACTCCAAAATCTGCCCCAATTAAATACGAAGATTTACAACATATGGATTACTTAGATCGTGTCATTAAAGAAACTATGAGATTATTTCCTGCTGTTCCTTTAATTGGGCGATATCTAACAGAGGATGTAAAAATAGGTTTGTTTTTAAATATAATTATCTCTTTATTTTATGTGTGTATGTGTGTGTGTTGTTATGATACACAATTATTATTATATATAACTTAAATAAAAAAAAATAATTTTTAAAGGACAACTACGAATATATATATATTTGTAATAACATATATATGTATAAAGTGTCCCAGGCTACCCATACACCTCTTTTGAAATGAAAATAAATGGTTTTTATCAAAAATCGCGGACAATTTTTAAGTAAATCGGATACATTCTATCAAATGGTGATATTTTCAACTTTTAATTCCAACTGAAAATACGCCATCGGGAATGGAAGAAAGATGAATTTTTTTAGGGGAACATGGTACTTTTTATTATAGATTCGAATTGTACATGAAAAATAAGAAAACTTTTGTATCAAATGTTTTTTCTGAAACTACCTCTGTCAATCTTAAAATTGACCTTGAAAGTAAATGTAATGAAATAATGAACTTCAAATTTCAAATGTTCCTGTGGTGCTACTAATGACAAGGATGTGTATGTGCTTGAATGTACGGGATTATAAACGTTCATAGAAGAATCAATTGGTGTAAAGAAAAAATAGTTGTTTTAAAAAAAATATATATATATATAATTTGCAAATATGTAATTTAACAATTTCATATTTTTTCTTAAAAACAACTGTATGTTTTCTTTACCACTTGATTTCTCTCATTATTTTGTACATAAAAGCATTAAGGTAAGATAATCGAAAAATGAATATATTATTAGATATTTTATGATTTATGTAAAATTAAGAAATGATTTCAATCCTCATAACTCAAAAAGTACTCAAAGAAGAAATACTTTATTATAGTGTTTTGGAAAGCTCTCAAAGTAAGCTATAAGAATAGGTAATAAAAAATGGGGGTTCCGTTTAAAAAAATTGAGATAACCTTAAAATCTCTGAAGCTCCTCCACCTACAAAAAATTATTAGTAGCATATTACGGCTCTCTTGGTACAGTACAACTTTTATAAGTACAAAATTTTTGTATCTCTAAAAATAACGGAGATATTTCAGGTGGACAGAGTTATTGGTCCACCCTATATATATATATATATATATATATATATATATATATATATATATATAGGGTGGACCAATAACTGTTGGTACAATAAATGTTGAAAATGTTCACCATTTTCCTGAATACAAGCAGTAACACGTCGACGCATCGATGTTATGTTTAAAACAACATTAATATCTTTTAGAAAATTAAAAATTATTAAATTATTAAAAATGAAAATTATTAAAAATTATACCTTTTAGAATAACAAAAATATTAAAGATTACATTTAACAAAATTCTTTATAAAAAAGAACTTGAAAAATCATTTTAATGTTTAATAAAAAATATTATTTGTTCAATGGCAATTTTGTATATCAAATATATATCTGTCTGTGAAATGAAAAAACATAAGACGATTTAAATTGTATTCTTATTGCTTTATTTATATATAAGCTATTTATTATTTTTCTAACAATTTATAATTTTTAATATTTTCTAACGTTATTATAACAGTATTATATATAAGCATATATGTTTAGGAGAGTTTATTTTGCCAAAGGGCACTGAGGTTTTTTTGGCAATATTGACTCTACACCGAAATGAAAAGTATTGGCCCAATCCGTTGATATTTGATCCAGACAGATTCCTTCCTGAGAAAGGAACATCTAATAAATATTACATGCCGTTTAGTTCTGGACGCAGAAATTGTATAGGTAAGCATAAATAAATCACATAGAACACATATCACAAAGAAATATACTTAAATATAACTATCAAGCTTTTGCAGGTATGAAATATGCAATGATTTCAATGAAAGTTATCTTAGCAATTTTGATAAGAACATTTGTATTCAAAGTAGAGAAAATTACTCAGATAGATGCAATAAAATTAGATATGGATATAACACTACACAATATTGAACCTATGGAAGTCATTATAAAAAGACGAGAATTACATTAAAATAATGTAAGAATATGTTAATAAACATGGTTTCGAGATATTCGAGTGTGAAAGTTAAAATGGGATACCTTGTATATATATGCACAATTATATTATTATATACAACCTAATATGTTTCAATAGAAAAAGAAACTTAATATTTTTTGTATAATGTGTTGTTTCTGCATAGTATACATAGTATAGCATAATGAACGGAGGGTAACCTAAAGTTAAGCCACAATTTATTCATAACGTGATTGAAATTAAATGTAAGTGTCAATATTAACATCATAAATGAATGAAATAAAATACATATCCACAATTGTTTTACTCAATAATTAAATAATATTTATTAAATATTAGTTATAAATGAAAATGTGTGTGTGTGTGCGTGCGTGCGTGCGTGCGTGCGTGGCGTGCGTGCGTGGCGTGCGTGCGTGCGTGCGTGGCGTGCGTGCGTGCGTGCGTGGCGGTGCGTGCGTGGCGTGGGCGTGGCGTGCGTGCGTGCGTGCGTGCGTGCGTGCGGTGCGTGCGTGCGTGCGTGCGTGCGTGGCGTGCGTGCGTGCGGTGCGTGCGTGCGTGCGTGCGTGCGTGCGTGGCGTGCGTGCGTGCGTGCGTGCGTGCGTGCGTGCGTGCGGTGCGTGCGTGCGTGCGTGCGTGCGTGCGTGCGTGCGTGCGTGCGTGCGTGGCGTGCGTGCGTGCGGCGTGCGTGGGGTGCGTGGGCGTGCGTGGGCGTGCGGGTGCGTGGGCGTGCGTGCGTGGGCGTGCGTGCGTGGCGTGCGTGGGGTGCGTGCGTGCGTGCGTGCGTGCGTGCGTGCGTGCGTGCGTGCGTGCGGGTGCGTGCGTGCGTGCGTGCGTGCGTGCGTGCGTGCGTGCGTGGGGGGGGGGGGGGGGGGGGGGGGGGGGGTGCGGCGTGCGTGGGGCGTGGGCGTGCGTGCGTGCGTGCGTGCGTGCGTGCGTGCGTGCGTGCGTGCGTGCGTGCGTGCGTGCGTGCGTGGCGTGCGTGCGTGCGTGCGTGCGTGCGTGCGTGCGTGCGTGCGTGCGTGCGTGCGTGCGTGCGTGCGTGCGTGCGTGCGTGCGTGCGTGCGTGCGTGCGTGCGGTGCGTGCGTGCGTGCGTGCGTGCGTGCGTGCGTGCGTGCGTGCGTGCGTGCGTGCGTGCGTGCGTTGCGTGCGTGCGTGCGTGCGTGCGTGCGTGCGTGCGTGCGTGCGTGCGTGGCGTGCGTGCGTGCGTGCGTGCGTGCGTGCGTGCGTGCGTGCGTGCGTGCGTGCGTGCGTGCGTGCGTGCGTGCGTGCGTGCGTGCGGCGTGCGTGCGTGCGTGCGTGCGTGCGTGCGTGCGTGCGTGCGTGCGTGCGTGGCGTGCGTGCGTGCGTGCGTGCGTGCGTGCGTGCGTGCGTGCGTGCGTGCGTGCGTGCGTGCGTGCGTGCGTGCGTGGCGTGCGTGCGTGCGTGCGTGCGTGCGTGCGTGCGTGCGTGCGTGCGTGCGTGCGTGCGTGCGTGCGTGCGTGCGTGCGTGCGTGCGTGCGTGCGTGCGTGCGTGCGTGCGTGCGTGCGTGCGTGCGTGCGTGGTGCGTGCGTGCGTGCGTGCGTGCGTGCGTGCGTGCGTGCGTGCGTGCGTGCGTGCGTGCGTGCGTGCGTGCGTGCGTGCGTGCGGTGCGTGCGTGCGTGCGTGGGGCGTGCGGGGGGGCGTGCGGCGTGCGTGCGTGCGTGCGTGCGTGCGGGTGCGTGCGTGCGTGCGTGCGGGTGCGTGCGTGCGTGCGTGCGTGCGTGCGTGCGTGCGTGCGTGCGTGCGTGCGGTGCGTGCGTGCGTGCGTGCGTGCGTGCGTGCGTGCGTGCGTGCGTGCGTGCGTGCGTGCGTGCGTGCGTGCGTGCGTGCGTGCGTGCGTGCGTGCGTGGTGTGTGTGTGTGTGTGTAAAGACACGATATTTCTGTTATGTAATGATAGTTTGTTAATTAATAAAATAGATAATAAAAAATGTTTTTTCTTTTAGAAAATTATTTTGAGTGCTTTAAATGTTTAGTTTAAAAGTTGTAATTTAAGTAGAACTTAATAGTTATACGACAAGAATAATTTTTATTCTTTATTATTGTTCGTTCTTTCTTAAAGGATTTTGCCCAATTTATTTCAATTCTCTTTAATTTTTTTCTAAAGTATTTAAAAGTTGGACTATTAATAATTATTAATAATTATTTATCAGTTATAAAAATTTTGAAGCTGTGATTCAATTTCTTTTTACAAATTCTTTAAAAAATCTGTTATTTATGAAAAAATGAAGCATGTAATATATTTTTAATAAATTTGTTATATATATTTGTTATATATAATTCTTTGTTATGTACAGCTCTTTGTTAGAAAATAATTACCTGTAAATATATTACCATAAAAAAGATATATTATAATTATATTAATTATTATAATTATATTATAATATCGATTTTTGTTTTAAATAACTTTATAAATCAAATGTATTGTATGTTTATTGAAAGACATCTAATTTTTTTTGTATAATGTGTTTCTGCATATACAGGGTGTCCGTAGATTTTCGACCAAAATGAAATAAATAAGTAGATTGGCTCGAATTAAGAAGGAATGACCTGTATTATTTTGGGATTGTCGCAATAATTAACGAAATATTAAATAAAACAGATCGGCCAATCTGCGTGAGTAAAAGCGCGCGGCGACGAGAGACGTCCCACCGTAATCCGATACTACGAGCGCGACGAAGCGGTGGGCGGGTCGCTCTCTGAGACATGATGGTGGTTTACGATATATCGCAATACCGCGCCGAAAAATGACCCGTCCCCCCTTTTCGTGGCGAGAAAATGATGCGCTATCATTTCCACACCACCTTGCGGTAGATAGCATGGTGCGCTTTTTTTATAGTGGTTTCCCCCATAGGCCTATTCCACTCTCAATTTAAAAATTATTCAAAATGCCATTTACTATACGCTGAATATATCGTAAATGTAAAAAATTAATGGACAGTACCTTTACAAAAATTGATTCATGGTTGAAAATCCCTCGATAAAATGCACACATTGATAATGTGATACGATAATAAAATTCTTCAAAAATCCTTTCTTCATCTCGTACACGAAGACGCACTGCTTATCTCGATATTATGCACGACACTCAGTTTCACATAATTATTGCACAACACGTAAAATTGTACGGCCACTTGGTTTTCGTGCACGCCCGAGAAATGATTCCATGTAAATTGCGGCCGCACGATGAGTATTTTCTCCCGCTAGTCCGTATGCCACAATTATATCCGTATATTCCTGCAGAGTACACTTCATTTTCTCTGTTCATTTACTAGGCAAACACAAAATTTTTATTAAAACGTCTTAGCTCTCGCACGCTGTTACCAGACTGCGTACGCCAGCAGCACGCAACTACAGCTGACAGCTGAGCGGACATGTGAATGTGAGCGTACGTGTGAGTTCGACGCCTGCGCACTATGATTACACTCGCATGTCCGCTCAGCTGTAGTTGCGTGTTGCTGGCGTACGCAGTCTGGTAATAGCGTGCGAGAGCTAAGACGTTTTAATAAAAATTTTGTGTTTGCCTAGTAAATGAACAGAGAAAATGAAGTGTACTCTGCAGGAATATACGGATATAATTGTGGCATACGGACTAGCGGGAGAAAATACTCATCGTGCGGCCGCAATTTACATGGAATCATTTCTCGGGCGTGCACGAAAACCAAGTGGCCGTACAATTTTACGTGTTGTGCAATAATTATGTGAAACTGAGTGTCGTGCATAATATCGGGATAACCGGTCCAGCAGTGCGTCTTCGTGTACGAGATGAAGAAAGGATTCTTGAAGAATTTTATCATCGTATCACATTATCAACGTGTGCAATACATTTTATCGAGGGATTTTCAATCATGAATCAATTTTTGTAAAGGTACTGTCCATTAATTTTTTACATTTACGATATATTCAGCGTATAGTAAATGGCATTTTGAATAATTTTTAAATTGAGAGTGGAATAGACCTATGGGGGAAACCACTATAAAAAAAGCGCACCATGCTATCTACCGCAAGGTGGTGTGGAAATGATAGCGCATCATTTTCTCGCCACGAAAAGAGGGGACGAGTCATTTTTCGGCGCGGTATTGCGATATATCGCAAACCACCATCATGTCTCAGAGAACGACCCGCCCACCGCTTCGCCGCGCTCGTAGTATCGGATTACGGTGGGACGACTCTCGTCGCCGCGCGCTTTTACTCACGCAGATTGGCCGATCTGTTTTATTTAATATTTCGTTAATTATTGCGACAATCCCAAAATAATACAGGTCATTCCTTCTTAATTCGAGCCAATCTACTTATTTATTTCATTTTGGTCGAAAATCTACGGACACCCTGTATATAGTATAACATTACAAACATTACAAATTAAAACATTACAAACGAGGAAAACATAATCTAAAGATAAGCTACAATTTATTCATAATATGATTGAAATTAAATGTAAATGTCAACAATAACGTCATAAGTATATATAATAGAATATAATCTACAATTGTCACATGCGATAGTTAAATAATATTTAGTAAATATTTGTTAAAATGAATGTGTGTACAAAGAATCTATGTTTTGTTGTGTAGTAATAATTTGTTAATGAATAAAATAAATAACAAAAAATTTTTTTAGAAAATTATTATTAGTTTTTAGTCTTAATAATTATACGACAAGAATAACTTTCATTCTTCTATTATTCATTTGTTTCTTCTTTAAAAAATTTTGCTCAATTGTTTATTGAAATTCTATTAACCTTAATTTTTCTAACGCACAGATAATTTAAAAATTGAACTATTAATAATTATTAATAACGATTTAATCAGTTATAAAAATGTTTAAGTTGTGATTCAATTTTTTTGCAAAACTTAATATCATTGATAATCCCATATTGCATAGAAAGGTGAAAGTTGTAGAAATATTGCAGAATAATTTCATTGAAATATTGCATTTCAAATATTGTATTTCAAATTGGTTATGAAACCTTTTGCGTCATTGCTGTAAAATTACGACACTTAAGTTGTCCGCTTTTTATAATATTGTAACAAAACATTCTAGCAACATTGCAATATACTTAATATATTTAAAAGAATTTTATAATATTGCATGGAATTTATAATATTGCATGGATTTTATAATATTTAAGAATTATAATATATAATATATAATATATAATATGTTTAAGAATTATAATATATAATATATAATATATAAGATTTATAATATTTAAGAAAATATTTATAATATTTAAGAATTTTATAATATTGCATGGATTTTATAATATT